ATCCACTCACCTCAGCCTCCCAAAGGCGCGGGATTACAGGCTGAGCGACCGAGCCCGGCCCATTATATTCTTGATTAGAAAATTATCAAATAAATCAATAAAATGTTCGTTCCCAAAGATTATGCTGGAGTTTTCAGGGGTGTCAGAAAGTGACTGGTGAGAATTAGGTGCTAGATTGACTCTAACAGAAGGAAAGGTTAGGACGGGCTTTGGAGGCTCCCAAAGAGGCGGCCGGGTAAGCTCAGGGAAAAGGCAGGACTCAAGGGTTGGGGGCACGTTCCAGATTCAGCAAAAAGCATAGGCCTGTGCAGAGACAGCACATAGAAGGGTAGCCCAAGGCCACCTTTGGCCCGCCAAGGCTGATGGGAAGAATTTGTCTCTACTCTGGGCTTCTAAACTTGTCACTGGAAGTGGCCGGCATGGTGGCATGTGCCTGAAGTCCCAGCTACTCGGAAGGCTGAGGTAGAAGAATTGTCTGAGCCCAGGAGGTCAGCTGTGATGAGCTGTGAAAGTGCCACTGCACTGCAGCCTGGACGACAGAGTGAAATCCAACTCAAAAAAAAAAAAAAAATCAGATATACTTTCTCCAAATTTAAGTCTGTTCATGTTGCTTCCTTGTAGCTGGGACTACAATCATGAGACATCACGCCTAGCTAATTTTTTTTTTTGGGTAGAAACTTGGTCTTGCTATGTTGCCCAGGCTGGTCTCGAATTCCTGGGCTCAAGAGATCCTCCCACTTCAGCCTCCCGAAGTGCTAGGATTACTGGCGTGCGCCACCATACCCAGCCTATACCGACATTTCTTGAAGAATGGATTAGAATGGGAAAAAGGGCAAGTTAGGAGGGAAAGCCTATTGAGCAAGAAATACTAAGGAAGGAAGGGGACACAAGTGGTAGAAGCACAAATAAGAAAGTAAAACAAAGAAGAACAGGTGCCCTTTGACGTAAAGCATGCTCCAACTAATAAACCCATCACGAAGTTGAAAAATTGTAAGTAGCCGGGCGCGGTGGCTCAAGCCTGTAATCCCAGCACTTTGGGAGGTCGAGGTGAGAGGATTGCCTGAGCCACGGGTTCGAGATCAGCTTGGGCAACATGGTGAGACCTCGTCTCTACAATATATCAAAAAATTAGCCGGGTGTAGTAGCGTGTACCTATAGTTCCGGCTACTTGGAAGTTTGAGGCAGAAGGATCACCAGAGCCCAGCAGGTCGACGCTGGGGTGACTGTGAGCGTGCCACTGCATTCCAGCCTGGGTGAAGGAGTGAGCCTCCAACTCAAAAAAAAAAAAAAAAAGGAAGAAAGAAAAGAAAAATTGTAAGTTGGGCCTGTCGCTACAGCCTAGAATCAGACATTAGGGTCACTGCTTTCCAGCAGAAGCTGAGTGGTCTTAAGGTAAGAACCTGACCTCTCTGTGCCTTAGTTTCCTCATCTGCAAAATGAAGATAACAATATCTCAAAAGCCATTAAGAGAATCAATACTCTAACACATGCAAGCACTTAGCCCCACTGGGGCACTGAGGAACACTCAATCACAGTTAGCCATTAGTACTGCTGTTATTTGTGTTACTATTATTATGTAAGAGCTACAATGTAAGAAGCATAATTGACAGGATTTAGCAGCAGGTAGGTCAGAAGGAGGAAGGCAAGGACGACCAGCGTTTCACGTCTGGGTTGTCTGCTCATACGACCAATACTACCACCAGACAGGAGGCAAAGCTAGTTTAGGAGGAAGATGATAGTGGAGGTGATGAATGGATGGCCAAGTGACTGGTACCCAGCAGGTGGCAGGAGACAACAGGAGGCTTTAGAGATCAAGGCTAGAAACATTCTCCAGAAGGTGTGACCTCCAGCACATAGCAAAGCTGCCCGGTTACTTCAGAAAATGGCGGGCACTGGGGGAACAGAACACCAAAGACATACAGAGGAGACGCCAACTCAAGGGCAAAGGCAAACAGGCAAAGCAAACAGGAGG